TACTTGCCAAGTCAACCAGATCAGTTTGATCACATTTTATTAACAGATCTGTAGTTAATTTTATTTTACTGTAGAGTCATGTATGGTTTTCTTAATAAAAAGATGACTTAGAAAATAACAGTTGTGGGTAAATACTGGAGCTAAGTTTTTTTTTTTTTATGATTTCGCATTGTACCACTAGATGCCACTTTAATGCAGTTATGAAGAATATCCAATTAAGATCTGCTCAACTTGGCTGAAACATCACAGACAGACCTTTAAAATTAACTGCAAATATGGGGGAACTGATGTTTAATGGAGTTTAAACTGATTATGACTCCTAACAATAGAAACAGTTATACTAAGACAGTGGCACAGAGGGAAGGCTGATCTGTTTTTGTTTTTGTGCTGCACCCTCTAGTTATCCAGACGTATATCATACATTTAGTCAGCATTAAGTACTAAGCACTAATTTTTATTTCGACCACAAATTAATGCATTTCTGAAGAAATAGGTTTATGCTTGAAGTAGAAGAGCACTAAAATGGCAGAATTTCGAATTGAGAATTTAGAAAGCTCTTTTGATTTATTAGCTACCTTATAGGTAGCTAATAAGTCAGTTGAGCTGTAAAAAATAAAAAAAAAAAGAAGGGGGATGGTGGATTTTTTTGTTTTGTTTTGGAAGTAATCATAGCCTTATTAATATAGAATATTACCTAAAGCAATATGCATGGTATGGTTGTTGCATGTAAGGTACGCCGGTCATTGACCTTATCCAAGGCACCTTACAGTAGAACTGCAGTCAGTCCCTGAACTGCCTTGGCTATCACTGCCCCTACATATTTAGGGACTAATTTCCCACTGGGATCAGCTTCAGAGTAATGGTTGGCCACTTCTTTGATTTTACTTTAGAGAATCTTTTGGCAATTAATCTATTAAGATTTGGGACAAAACCTCATAAAGCATTGCAAATGAATATCTGAATCCTTTCAAGTCAGGTATTTTTGTACTCAAATTCAATCAATTAAATTGAAACAGCTGAAACAATTTTTAAAATCTGAAAAAAAATAATATGCTAATAAATTCAAATACATTAGAATTAGCCTGAAAATGAAATAAGCTTATATAAAATATAATAATTTGACTCACCTTTCAAATATTCATTTTGAATATTTATTTTATGAAATAGACTGTTTATCAGAAAATCAGTATTGCTTCTATTGGCTAATTTAAAGTAAGCTAGACTACATGCTGGCAATGAATGAGTTAAAACTATTCTAACAGGTCCGTCGAACTAAACTATTTACCACTGATTGGACAACAGGCATTATCTAGCATCTTATAGTACCTTTTAGGAAAGCGAATAGCGGCTTTTCTTGCTGGGGAGTTGGCAACACTGGTGAAGGGATGAGAGGTGCAGAGAAGAGAAGGTATTGAAGAAAAATTGAAAGAAAAAAAGGGTTTAAATATATGAAAAGAAACTTAGAATTAAATTGAAATGGGTCTTAGAGTTCAAAAAGTTATTGTTCTCCACACATCCTATACTGCTGAGTTCTTTCTATATTTTGGCATTTTGAAAAAACTTTTTCAAGAAGAGCCAGGACCATAACATTCTGCAAAATTCTGCAGGCAACTGTTAAAACACCTCAGTGACTACACTAGGGGAATATTTCATAATTGGGATATCAAAAAATATAGTTTTGACTAGTTCCAATTAACAGAAATGTCTTGATTATAACTCCAGATGTGTGACACTTTAAATAACAAATCAGATGACGTCATTTGAGATATCTCAAAATGCATTTTGACTCTCCAAAATGTGATTAAAGATATCTTGAATTGTTATTTTCCCTAAACATAATATAAAAATAAAAAACATCACTAAGGGCAGTCAACACTTGGTAAATAATGTATGTTCTATTACAATTTCTACATCTCTATAATGGGTCGGTATTATGACTTGTCTTGTCAAGTCAGAGAGCCCTATGCCTGTCTTTGTCTAGGGCCCCAAATTTCCTAAATCCGCCCCTGCTTCATTTCTCTTCTCCAGGTTTCATCTGTTGTGCCCAGAATTACCTCCCCTGTCGCGGGAGCATGCATCGCCCTAAACTCATGCCCATTGATGAATGAAATATGAACGAAAAGGGAATATTTAAACATATTCTTAATGTTTTTATATTTCTTATACATGGGTGTCTTAAAATCGATAGTTTTGGTGGACAGATACATTGAAATTAATAGGATTTTACTTGTATGGAGACACGTTTCAGTCGATGTGCTACTGCCAGTGTGCGATGAATAAATTCTCTCCTCAGTGGATGCCAATTTCCGATTTTGCTATCAACACCATTCTAGATCATTTCTGACACTTTATTTGTTAAACTTAGAACCTGGAACCTGCCGAAGATTCACTCCGCTCCTTATTTTCACATTTATTGTCCCAGACTTATGAAATTCATACCACAATCACAGAGAGCAGGTATGATTATGGGGAGAAACTTGCATAATTGTAAACACATTATTTCTCAAACTAAGCAGGGGAGGCAGATCTCGGCAACTTAGAACCTGGAACCTGCAGAAGATTCCTTCCCCTCCTTCTTTTTACATTCCCTCAAACTGTGTTGTCTTTGCTGCGTGGGCATGATGCTGTTCAGGCTGTGTGCTACTCATAGCCTGCCAAATGTTGAAAGGGCAATATTATTGCCATTACTGTTCATATATACGGTAATAGAAATTTAGACATTCAGTGATGAAATGTCACAGGGGATGGTATGGGGGTGATGGTAATTGAAGAAGGCGGATGATTTTTAAGATTTTTTTAAGACAGGGGATGCCACCCCCCCTCATCCCCCCTCATCCCCCCTCAGCGCGAGTCCAGACTTTATCACTGTAATTGCAATAGTACTAAGATAATAAAGATTTTACATAATAACTAGTGCCAAGGTTAGAGCTATACATAGATATATCATGTCATATCATGCCTCAGTGGCAAATCATCATACCGGGGAATAGTGTCAGAAGGCCACCTAAAACTATAATAATAATTTCATTGACCCAGTTTCTGCTCTTAAGTTTCACTGTTGCTTCCTCCTCCTTGATATGATTAGTTATGCCAATCATTGGCTTTTATATTTGTTTTATATTTGTTTTATTGCTTTTCTTATTTTCTAATAGGCAAATGTTGGCAAGTTTCTATTCCAGCAGAACTGAAACCCATCAATGATTATCTGAGAGAATAATGATTTCCCTATTAAAAGCAAGAGTCACACCCATAGAGAGCAGATAATGTCAACATGGAAAAATCATAAATGCCCTACTGCCAGCATGTTCAGTCAGCAATCATAATTTACCAATGCAAAGCAAGGGTGACACCCACAGAGAGCGGATGGTGTAAACAGGAAATGATTTTTTTCATTCTTCAAGCAACCAAACAAATCTAAGTGGTATTGCTGCTTGAAACACTTTCCTTACTCGATTAACACTGGTAAGTGCAGTTGACTTTTCAAAAATATTTTGCCAAGAAATTCTGCTTTGATGTTTGTTATATCACTAAAAAAAGTCAAGAGAACATTGGACTTTTTGTATACTATGATGCAGCAATAAAGGAAAGGTAGAGGATTTATACAAAGGAAAACAGCATATTTTTATGAACTAACCAAATAATATTTTTATCCCTGCTTCAGCTGGTAAGTGTGAACTCTTTGAAGCTTTTGCTTAATGCAAAAACTCAGCTCACTCTTCAGATCTTCAGTATATACTGTAGTTGTATATATCCAGATAATGTGTATTTCTAATTGTTTGATAGAGAACCACATCAACTCTTAAACACAAAACAAAATGTGTAAACTGCTCTCTTTAATGTGGAGAGAGCAGAAAGGGGATTCTACGTTACTTCCGGGAGCTAACTTTATCTTTAGATTTAAATATAAATCTAGTCTTTTTAAGTTTTCTTTTTTCCTTTTATGTTAACATTATGGTATATAGTGGGTAATCTAAAGAAAGAAACAACTAAAATGCAGATAAACATCTTTTAATCATATTTTGCCAGCCTACTCTGAGCATATCCGATGATGACGTCAGACAAACTGTTTAACGGAGAACATGTAAAAAGTATCAAATTGTCTCAGAGAAGTCATTTAAAATGTTTTTAAGATTTTGATTAGAATTCTTTAGTAATTTGAGGATAGAAATAAGTACTTTTAGTACCATAATTACATTATTTTTGGTCTGTATGAATATCTGCTTGCACATGCACAAATGAGCCAATGGTACAAATTGTGCTTCCGGTACAGAATTGGTTAGTGACAATGCTGCATAATATGTGGCAATTTGGGTTGGAAATTCCAGCACAGTCCTACTTATCTGATGTCACTTGATGCTGCATGGGCTCTGCGACAGCTTTGTTGCAGGAAGTTGTGGCTGTTTCAGTAGTAGTCGAAGACTACAACATGTTGCTGTAGAGCAAAATTAGCCAACATAGTAATCAATGTTGATATATAAAACACCCCAACTTTACATATGTGTTCTTCTTGATCTTACAGCCATTAATGAAGAATGGATAGCCTTTCTGTGGATATGGGTAAGTAAGGCATTTTTATTTTCCATTTGAAACCAAACTTATTCGGCTACTCATTTCTGGTTGAGTAAGGTCAGACCTTATCTATAGTAGATAGTGATGATGCTAAAATGGTTACATGCTGTTTGATTTCTCATGTAATAAAGTGGTTAATCAATTCCTCACCCTGCTACATTATTGAACTGGGAAAATAGTATTATGAAATGGCCTAATTAATTAATACTTTTACAATGAGCATTTCTACCTAGTTGTATCTAGTGGATTTGAATTCCATGAAAAACCTGATTGCCAACCAGCTGTTGTCCATAGAGTCAATCCCATTACACCAACGAGATTTTCTAATCAAAAATGACAATATCAGTCTGCACACAGCAGGGTGCATACATGGCTGTGGGTAGGTATTTTGTTACATAACACAGAGACGTCAGCCAACATGAATGATTACGTTTAAGTTTTAAAGTAAGCAGAGAAGAGGTGGGTGTGGTTCATTTTTCTCATTCTGTAATAAACTGCTGCTCAAGGCAGTGGCAGGGCATGATAATTTCCATAGG